GAACAAGTGTTATTACTCAACCGAGCGGTATCAAACGAAAATCGAAACTGTTGTTGTTTCGCAGAAATAATAATTAATGGTACAGATAAACAAAGATTAGATTAAAGAGAGAAGAGGGAATACCACTCACAAGAATCTATCCATCGTCAAAATGTTGTTTTCATCATCCTTTACGGTGTTTCAGTCGCCGTAACAGAGCCAACAATCGAGTCGTCGAGCTATCGCAATTGAGCTACGAAGAGAGACTTAAGCGACTAAACCTCTTCACCATTTAGTACAGGAGGTTGAGGAGGGACTTAATATTGATTCACAAAAGAGTATCAACGCAGAGTCACCTGAACAGCGAAAGAATAGCACTATTGCTGCACCACCAATGGCAAGAACATTCTAAGACCACCGTGCACCAGCAGAGTAGTACTAACAGTAGACGGTTAAATTTCGTCATCCGGGCGACATCCACTTGGAACTCATTACCCGATGTAGTGGTTAAGCGACTCGATGGTTGCTGATATTCGTCAGAACCTGTAACTAATGTTTACTCACATCCGTTTTGAATATTCGTCCCAAATGGAAACAGAACCAGAGATTGCGTTTATTGAAACGATATATTCTGAGATCTTCAGAAAGGTTGGAAGTAGATTTAGGTAGGCCTAGGCTGATATTTAAACAACGGCAGCGGAAACCTGAAAGTAGATCTGATCAATGCAACGAAAGCGTGCGATACAGAGCTCACCGTGGGGAATGGTGTCGGTGCACGCTTTTCAAGTTCATTAAAAGAACGCTAATAGTTAAAGTAAAACTTAATCCTNTAATCCTGGAAATGTCCAAGTTGCTTTATCCAATAGAGGAACTTTCCTCAGAGTATATCTATCGCCAACTAATGGCGATAAATGCTAAATCTCGACGATACACTTGATTGTGTCCAGTGGATAAGGGTCCTTAAAGGAAGAAGGGAAAAACCTGACGGTAGTTTAACTACCTGATCGATAAACTAATTCGCTACTTGATTTCTGAACCTTAATGGTTCTAATAGGTATTCCATGGTTATGTACCATGCCTTGATAGTCCTCAATTATACAGGACTGGTTAGAAACTGAACGTATCCTGATGTTAGTCACCAGCCTAGGGTGAAAGTGCCTCGAGAACGTGATTTGATGATCACGTCCAGCTTGAATGGATCTATCAAGAAGCTTAGAGAAAACAATACGTGATTTGATGATCACGTCCAGCTTGAATGGATCTATCAAGAAGCTTAGTACTTCGAGAACGTGATTTGATGATCACGTCCAGCTTGAATGGATCTATCAAGAAGCTTAGAGAAAAACAAGAGGTAAGAAAAGAAAACTGCCGTTGCGAAACTGTCGGTTGAAGAACCGCTTCAGTGGTATCTGCGCCTACGACAGCGTGTTACAATCGGTTACTAGGTAAATTCGCCGTGGGCCTCACCTCGGCAGTGGATAGCAACCCAGAGTACCCTCGAAGCAATGTTAGGCGGACCTCTGGTTGGTCCACACAGTAAACCTCGTAAGGCGTTTGAATCGGTTCAGCTAACTGACTAGAAGCAACTAATCTGCAACGTCGTCAAAAGTAACCTGCCAATCTCTTTTTGCTTGCACTTTCAGATTACAAGATTAACCGAATCCAAAACAGAAATTTCCGAACATCATACTTTACCGTATAGATGGAGAAACATGCAGAAACACAAGCCCACCAGATTTTTCCGCATGGAAACTGGACATTTGATAGGGAACTTTTGACTGTTTTTTATTTCAGACACAATCATATACCTAGTAAAAGACAACTACTCCGGGGAACTCCGTCCGTCACTGAGCAGTAAACGTAGCAGCATAACCCAGGCGGTGGTGGTCCGGTGTTAACGTCACCAGTTATCATCCCGGAGGAGGATTTTTCGAATCCCATCACCACGACCTAACTCCCCAGTTGTGTTGTATGACAGCCCTTTGATTGACCGCCTCTCCCTTCCTAGAAAATTGTATCTTTGCACATTCAATAAAGGGAGTAAAATTAAGAATAGAAAAAAGGCTACTTGAATCCCCGTGAATTGTTTTACTGACCTCTTACAATAGCGGGCTAGTTGGTTGTCTTCAATATGTACGGCACGAAAGGCAGTGCCTACCTAATACCTACATACATTTCGGTCTCATTGTTGATACTGATAGGTTTGTTTTGGCTTACAATGAAAAAATGCTTTTTCCAGGTCTGTACTACCTGCTTAGTGGTAATGGTCATTTGTTCGATATCGGCTGGTAAGGTGAACATTTTGTGTATTTTTTCTTCAGGGTTTTATCGGAAACCTCTCCTTACCTATGGGCATGTGTGGGCGTTGGATTAGCTGTTTCCCTCTCTGTTGTTGGAGCCGCCTGGTGAGTTATTATTGGGAAACTTGAGGGTTACACAATTGTAATGTGACACTTCGTTGTTATAATCATTACTATGGTAGTTATATCCGAACTCTCAGTTATTTAGGTACGGCTTTCAGATGCGATATCGCGATATATATACGTTTCATACACATCTAATGCCAGACTGTGCCTAATAAATCGTGGTACAATAATCTTTGTTAAAGCGAAACGTTCCATGATTTGCTTGTAGGCTGAATACTGCTAGGTTGCCGAAGTCAAGGCAGGTGAATTTTCTTGAGGAACCCACAACCAGAGCCTTGAGCTAGTCAAAGCCTGACCTGGGAGACAGCGGGGCGGTCTTCGAAAACCGCAATCCATTGCAAGCCGGTGTGGGCCTGTTTGTGCATTGTACCCAGCAAGGCGATGTCATCAATGTACAGGAACTGTGTTCCCTGGGAGGATTTCTATTCCATCGTTTGCTAGGCCAGACAAAACGTCCCGTAGAACCTCTATGGCAAAGTCGAAGAGGTGTGAGGATATAGGGCAGCCTTGTCGCACTCCACTAGAGGTATGACGATACAACTCCTTGAGGATCGAATTATACCTCTCAGGTACTCCATTTCTAAACAAACAGTTCCATAATGCGGTCCTATCGATGGGGTCGAAGATGACGAGTCTGTTTAGGGGTGCAATGACATCCGGTCTGTGTTAAGCATGACGGTGTTCTGCCAACTGTAGGAAGTGGAAGATTTGATCGATGCATCCGAAACCGGCAAGTAGCCCAACCTTCTCGTGTGTATGTTCCTCACGCGTGTTTTACAATCTCCCAGGAATAACGGCCACTAACAGGTTTAACGCTGTCCGGATGATGTTTATGTCCTTGTGGTTCGTACAAACACTGCATGGGCCCTTTTCAAAGAGAAAAACAACAATCAATTCCACCCACGAGGAGGGTACCTGCTTAATATTTCATCATCTTTAAAAGGTCTTATTCAAAGGGTTGGAGGAAGACCATGGGAGCCCTACTCTTTGCAGCTAGCGCATTCTAAACGACAGTTAAAGATGCTGGTCAAAGTAACTTATCGCAATCTGACCGTCGCTAAGTCGTGCGTTCAGAGCGCCCACCGGATAGTTTGGTGCAGACTAATGAGTGATCTGATTCGAGGAAAGGCTCTAGTGCGATCGGCAGTCTCGCATGTAACCCCGTCAATTGCGACTATGGTGATGTGATCGATCTGCGTTTGTCGCTTACTCGAAGAGGGTGAACGCCAATTGGCGTGCCGACAGTTGGATCGTCTGAAGTATGTACTGGTGAGGAATAGGTTGTCAGGACATGAAGCCAACAGCCTTTTCCCGTTTTCCGAACGACAGAAATCTAGTCCGAAGGGACCTCCCAGATGCACCTCACTGGATGTCAGCCGGCCTATTCTAGTATTCACATCTACTGAAATCAAGATATCAGCCCGATTCGTTTTAAGAGAGAGGTGACGTAGTTTTTTGCAGAAATTATCTTTTTTGTTGTTTGTACGCTAAATTTATTGGGTGCGTACGTTAAGAATAGAAGCAATTTGCGTTTTTCGAAGCGATAACCACTTTGCCCGAACCTCTAAGTCTCATTGTGCATAATCGACTGTCGACTAGGGTACAATCTGGGAGCGCCACGTCGACCCTCACTGAGAGTCACCGACGCCAGCAAAACCTGAAGCCACAGCCTCCGGGCCACCAGAGAGGCCTAAGGGAAGTTTCGCAGATGGATTTGATTGGGACGTCAATCAGATGGTGGAGCTTGGAGTCTTGAATGAGAGCTTCTTGGGTGCGACATACATCGATGGCTTAGGTCTCGAGCGTACGAGCTAAACACGCCCGTTGTTCTATAGGCATCAGAATACGCACATTAAATGTGGCTAATTTGGAAGGACATCGAAAAAGAGCTTCAATTGGTAGAAAGGTATTCGAGGAGGCTTGAACAATAGTCGAGATAGGATACGAGAGAATGGGGTCAGGATTTCCATCTGAAGCACAACTGTCTGAACACTTCGATGGAATTGGAGATATTTCAA